GGACCAGGCAGCATCACATGGAGCCCCCCCTGCCCCCGCTCAGGTCTGCTTGGGGGAGGAGGAGGAAGAGTCCCCATCCAGCACCTCACAGAGTCTCCTTCCCCACCCTAGGAGGAAGGGGAAAGAGTCCCCCCAGCACAGAACAGAGCCCCCCTCCCCACCCTGGGAGACAACCAACCCAGCATGGCCCCATTAAGGTGGCAGGGAGAAGGGTTAATTCCTCCTTCTGTCCCTTCCCTGCAGCCAGGGTCTGCCAGGTCCAGGAGCCACCACCGCAGCCCCCTCTGCTCCCTCAAAGACCAGCTGACCCCAGCTGCAGTGGGGAAGGAGGGAAGAATTAACCCCCTCCCTGCCCACTTTGCCTTAACGGGGCCATACTGGCTAGTGTCTCCACTAGGGCGGGTCCCTGCTCTGGCTAGAGCGCAGAGGGGTGGGATCAGCCCTGCAGCTGGAGCGGAGAACCCCGCCCAGCTCAGAGAGCATGCTGGGATGCTGGGGGGTCTGGTTTATCTTAAACAGGAAGGGGTCTAGGACAGACATTGCATAAACCAGTTTGAGCCAAATCAGTTCAGTCTGATCCTACATTCAACCAGATTTATCTCAAAGCGGTTTTGGCCATTTTGAAACTGGTTTATGTATACTGAACATCTGTTCTCTTACAGGTTTCAACCAGTTTCTGACCACTTAGACAGATCTGTGTGTAATGTCTGTCTCTAGCCTCATAGACCGATTCATAAGTTCACAAGAGATACCCTAGTCCAGAGGTTCTCAAACTCTGTAGACTCGAAGTATACCTCAGAAATTAGCAGGCCTTGGTTTTCACTGATTGTTTGACTAAAGAAAAACAACAGAGCAATTTCTCTCTTGCAAAGAAGTAGTCAGAAAGACCAGAACAGGGCAGAATATTTTTAACACTATGGATTCCTTTTTTAAATCTTTGGGTTTCTCTCATGAATCAATTTGCATACTTAACTTTAAATGGCACTTGGTGGCATCCTTGAAAAGACCTCAAGGCACCATGGGGAGCTGCAGCACCTTGGTTGAGAATCACAGCCCTAGTCATTAATGCTAACAAGCACAGATCAACCAAATGTCAAAACAGTAGATATTTTGCAAAACAATAAAATAAACTATTCCAAGACCATCAGTACTTTAGCACTTGGAGGGCTTGTCTATAGGCATAAATGACACATTCCATCTCAGAGCTGGGATGATCTTGCAACCTTCTAAATAGCCCCTTTCTGGTTTAAATACAAATCAAAATGGTAATAACTGTAACCATGAACCTCCCAGTCCAGTAAAAGGATACAACTGCAATGCTGTTCCAGAAGAGTAAACTGAAGTAGTCCAATAAATATGGCTTTGAGTGCAAAAGGCTGAATCATGTACTGGAATTTGTCAATAACTAGGTAGGGGTCTGCTCCTGGTTCCATTAAAGTCATTAGGAATTTTATAATAGAATCATTAACCAGAACCAGGGCCCAATGAAGAATGTCACATCTCCTAGGTAAGTAAAAAAGTGCGTAAACAAAATTTATCACACACTGGCAGGCATATCTGCACTTTGAAATAAAAAGATCTCGGCTCAGAAATAAAAGCAGAATTAAAAATTAAAAAGAAGTTATGAATATTGACAGGAGGTTACCCATGCTAGTGGCAACTGATTTAGAACTGGAGATGAACATCATTATGTGTATTAAAAATATATAGAAACTAGCGGAAGTACCCATTCTTTGCCCAGGTTGTTATTTTTCCTTGCACTGTTCCACTGTTTCTTCATGACTTGTGCCTGCAAGTCTTAGATGAATTTCTGTGAGACATTCCACCTTTTCAACATTAGTTTCTGCAGCAATTAAGGCAACATCTCTTATGCGACTGGCAGCAAGGCACTCCACTATTTCCTCATTAGTTTCTGCAGCTCTTGAGGCAGCATTTCTTGTAAGAGTAGCAGCAAGATGGTCTGCTTTTTCTTCTTTAATTTTGGTTGGTCTTGAAGCAGCATTCCTTCTGTGATTATTCACAAGATGTAGTGCCTTCTCTTCATAACTTTCTTGCAATCTTATATTTCACATCCTTTTCACAGCAGCTGAAGTGCCACTAAGAGTTGAAGACCTTTTCCTTGGCATTGATAAACAGTGGGGGGGAGA